AAAATCTTAACTGATAACCATTCCCAGATGGCTATGAGAAAAAGTGACGTAGTCTAGTTGAAAAATACTGAAAAGTCATCAACAGATCTCGTTAGGTCACGAAATATGAGTTAACGCCTAGCGAGAAGTGCTTTTGTCGAAGATGGCCTCCATTCAATCAATCTCCTTATTACACTCTCTTATTTGTCTTTCTACGGCCTTATCCATCTTTCTTCTTTACTCTTTATGTCTGTCTCTCTGTTTCCCTCTCAAACACTAAAGATAGTCTGGGTTCAATAGGATTTAATAACTTATGATAATTAATAACATATACAAATCTACTTTGAAAAATGCAGAACATCAGTTGGAGATGCCATGCAACGTTTCACACAATTTACGGAGAAATGCAACCAATCTCTCTTAAACTCAAACAACAACGATTATAGTTTACCGGCCACTACCACCGAGCGGACAGAGACATCGTCTCATCCTTACTCTTATCTACGGTATTTACTGTCCTCCTGGCTGTTATTTTCTCTTTCTGTTCATTACTAATGGTTCTCTTAATAATTCATCCACACCCTGTAACCCCTTGATGATTTGTGGCTGTACTCTCTTGATGGGATGATAACGATTAATCACAACATATCATAATTAGTAAAATTTGTATCACTAAATCCTTATTATCACCCCCCGCTACAAAAAATAAAAATAAGAAATGCTTAGAATCTAAATAAATAACAGGCAAAAGGTTAAGAAGCCTTACAAGATTGTGCAATTAAATTAAAAAAATCAGGTTATATATATATCTTAGTTGTTACTAATGTTGAAGATAGTCAAATGAAAGACGATAGGACGAAACATATACAGATTCACTTAGAAAAATGCAGTACATCAGTTGGAGATGCCATGGTACTTTTCACACAATTTACGGAGAACTGAAACCAAATGTCTTTTAAACTCAAACAACAACGATTACAGTTTGCCGGCCACTACCACCGAACGGACAGGGAAATTGTCTCATCCTTAATCCTAGGGCATCCTTCTGGACGTATCTTCTCGCGAAAATTGACTTTCCCAGACAGCATAGCTCAGGACTCAGGGATTATCAAAGAAGAATAATAATAAGAAGAATGAGAATAATAATAATAATAATTCTAATAATAATAATAATAATAATGAGAATAATAATAATAATAATAATAATAATAATGCGAATAATAATAATAATAATAATCTCGAAACAAACAGCACTCTACCGCTGGAACAGAAGGGATGCAGAAGAGGTTCATATGGCTGCAAGGATCAACTTCTGATAAATAAAATGATCTTGGAAAATTGCAGAAGACGACGCAGAAATCTTAGTGCAGCGTAGATTGATTATCGTAAAGCCTTTGAGAGTGTTCCACATTCTTGGATCCTTAAGACTTTGGAAATGTACAAAGTCTTCCCTGTGGTATTAAATTTCCTAAAGCACAGCATGGGAATGTGGAACACCAAACTCTACCTTAGTCACACCGGGGGCACTGCCATATCCAACCGTCTGAGTATCCGACGTGGAATCTTTCAAGGAGATTCTCTGTCACCCCTTCTGTTTTGTTTATCCTTAATCCCTCTTACACATGAACTGAACAACAGTAGCTATGGTTACAAAATAAATAAGAAAATATTCAATCACCTACTCTACATGGATGATCTCAAACTCTTTGCCAAAGACGACAATGAGTTGAAAGGCCTCCTCAATATTGTAAAATACTTCAGTGACGACATAGGTATGGACTTCGGATTAGATAAATGTGCAAAAGTAACTTTCAAGAAAGGTAGAATTACAGAAACACCCTTAATAGATTTAGATTTTGTCACAAAGATTAGGGAACTGGAGCATGGTGAAGCTTATAAGTACCTAGGAATTAGCGAAGGAGATGGCATACAACACCCCCAAATGAAGGAAAAAAATAAGAAAAGAATTCTACAGGCGTGTACGTCTGGTACTATATACTGAGCTGAACTCAAAAAACAGGATATCAGCCATAAACACATTGGCTGTCCCTGTGGTGCAATACAGCTTTAATGTCCTTAACTGGACCATAGCTGAAATTAAGCGACTGGATGCCAAAACGAGAAAGCTACTCACTTGCTATCGCATGCATCATCCCAAAGCTGATATCGACCGTCTGTATGTGCCCAGATCCGAAGGAGGCAGAGGATTAGTTCAACTAGAACTGTCCTACAAAACTACAACAATTGGCCTCCAAAGATATTTGGAAACTACTGAAGACTGGATGATGGTATGCGTCAAGGAACATGAAAGTAGTAAGCGTCTCTACTCCGTAATGAAGGAAGCCAACAAATTCAAAATGGAGTTCCAAATGGGCGTAGAGATGCAACTGCAGCACAATACACCGGCTGAAACTGCAAAATACCTAAAAAAGACAGCAAAGACGAATGCAACCGACCAGTTACAGAAGCGATGGCAAGATAAAACGCTTCATGGCCAATACTCTTCCCGTACCAAACAAGCTGACGTAGACAAAACCCGTACCCATCAGTAGCGACGCAGTGCAGGGTTGAAAGCAGATACTGAAGGTTTTATCCTTGCTGCGCAGGACTAATGCTTGCTAACTAGGAATTATCAAGCACATATACTAAAATATTGTGTCAGCCCAAAATGCAGATTCTGTGATAAATATCCAGAAACGATTGATCATCTTGTATCAGGTTGCACGATGTTGGCACCCACTGAATATAAAACGCGACATGACAGAGTGGGCCAATATCTGCACTGGAAAATCTTCAACTTCTACGCAAAGGAAACTGAAATAAACTGGTATGAACACCACCCAGACCCGGTTACGGAGATAAGACCTGTTACAATTCTATGGGACTACACAATACACACTGACAGAACAATCAAGGCCAACCGCCCAGACATTGTTATTAAAGACCACAAACAAAAACGGTGCCTCCTTATTGACATGGCAGTCCCTGCTGACTGCAATGTATCTTTGAAGATATTCAAAAAGTTGTCAAAATACAAGGACCTTGAAATAGAAATCGCGAAAATGTGGCATATGGGAACATCAAAAATCCCTGTTGTAGTTGGAGCCCTAGGACAGGTTGGAAAAGATTGCAGTAGACTAATTGAAGGGATTCCTGGAAGTCCATGCCTCAAGAAGATACAAAAATTGTTCTGACAAGTACAGCCCACACTTTACGAAGGACTTTATCTATGTAATTTAATTTTTTTTTTTTGTCAGTGGAAAGTGTCATGATGCCATTTTAACCTTAGGTCCCTGGGCGGGACCCGGAAAGAAATGTGTAAACGCCAGAAATCAAAGAAAATAATAATAATAATAATAATAATAATAATAATAATAATTCTATTACAGAATGTTTATAATTATTAAAGAAAGAAACTAATCTCAAAAGGTCAGTTGCAGTTCAGGGGCGAAATTGTTCTCAACAGATCGTTAGGTCACGAAACATGTGTTAGTATTATTTGTAAGCCAGCCATAATTTACCGGCTATTTAGTGCCAGGAAGAATAATGTTTTAGCTTTCCTGTATATCGAGTACCAATATTAGAATTAGTATAGCCAATGATACACTAACACTGCATATAGAAAGACTAGATAAGCCCCCGTAACAAACAAAACATTTAATTAGGCAACCAACTTACATACTCATATTAAAAAGATTTACACATGTCCCAAAACATATGATTCTTCATACTGTCCAAACGAAGAGAATGTGTAACAGAACAATGAACAAAGAAATAACATACCAGCCTTTTTGCCTTTGACTGTCCGTAGCTAAGTAAATCAAAATTACTTTTTTTTCCACGTTAGGCACATGGCCATTTTCCACGTGTGTGGACGCTCTGGTTGTTAGGAAGGTATTAACCGTTTCTCAAATCGGGAGCAAAAGTGAAAAATAGCAGGAGAGTTGTCTCTAGAAGGGCTGAACTCCCATGCGCTCAACCCAAGGAAAAACAACTGTGGCCTCCCTACACATGATTTAAGCCCTTACTGTAGACAATTGCCTTTAGTTAAGATGGACTCAATCCAATCCTTCGAGCAAATTTTTCTTAAGAACCGCGGCTCTTTGGAGCCGACTCCTAATAGGATACTTCCTCGATCACTCCAATCTTACCCTGGTCAAGTCGAGAATTAATCGTTATGTCCGCATAAACTACGCCTCTTACACCGTAACTCTCTATCTCCAATGACTGCCGGGCCTTGTACGGAAGGACATCGCTATAAAAATGAAAAGAAAAAAAAAGGTATTTATGATTTATTATAATTTGCCTTCCTCTGTGATTTATCATCCATTTTACTGCGTCTATTTCTTTATTAGCATTATTTCAGTCTCTTTTTGTGCGTTCCTCTTACCGAAAGTAACGTCCATTTGTCGTATCATACGACAGTTCGTATCATAATGCCGAAGAATATAAATAAATGAAAAAAAATCATTATTTCCCATAAAAACAATGAACCATATTTTTACATAAATGTCCTCCATTAACCAATCAAGCAGATGATGCTAATAGATCTTTAAAACTGACCAGAATTTACAAAGAAAACCTCTGCGGATTACGAAGGAAATGAAGGACGCTTACGAAATAAATGATTACGAAGGGCATGAAAACCTCTGAAAATTACGAAGGACTTGAAGGATAAACAGTAATGCTTTGGAATGAAATGAAGTAAATGTCATCTTTTGCGATAAGAATATTATCCATTTTCAAATAAACAAACTCGATGGGAGATTTTCTGGAATATGTAAAGTCCAGTGATCGCATGTGAATGACAGGATTTGACAGGCAGGCAGGATAAGTGGTAGCTGGAGGGAGATTTTGGATAAGATCAAAAGAGATGGATAGTAGGGTTAGAAAAATGAAAGAAAGATATAAGAAAGAGGGTGAGAGTAACGAGGAAGAAGGAAGAGGTGAAAGTTATTGAGGGGAGAAAAGTGTTTGTGGCAAAAGAGAAAGAAAATATGAAGAGGAGAAAGAAAGAAACTTCATTTCTCTCCTCTTCCAATATTTAATGAAAAACGAGCAGAAAAGAAGGATGTGTTGCAGGGGAAAAAAAGACGAATAACAAACGAAGAAAAAGTTGTAAAGAATGAATTATGGCAACGGACTGAAAAAAAAAAGGAAAAATGCGATGGAAGTGAAAAGAGAGAAAATAAATGGAGAAAAAGGAAAAATAGCAGAGAATAAATATTGTGAATAGAAGAAAAAAATATGAATATGGTGATCGTTAGACGGAACGAAGATGACAGGTAAAAGAAAGAAAAAAAAAGAAAAAAGAAAATGAACGAGTGAATGATGTAAACGATGTGAACAATAAGAACATGGCGGAAGGGAAGTGACTGCAAAGAAAGCAGAAAAGAAATCAAGAATGAGTAATGGGAAAAGAGAAGAAGAAAAAAAAGAATGCATGGGGGTCGGAAGGAAAATTATAACGACAGGAAATTAAGAATAATTAAGAATTAATGAATAAAGAAACGTGTAGAAAAAGTTGACTGGAGCTGAAGGCGAAGGAAAGCGAGAATGAAAAGCGAAGAAAAATAAATAATAGAAAATAAAAGGAAGTTAACAATATTGTGAATTTGAAGGAAATGAAAAATGACGGGAATAAAAGAAAAAGAAATAAAAAGGGATAATAAAGAGGACGAGAAGAATGCGTGGGAAAAAAATGAAACAGAAGAATGAAAAAGAATAAAGAATAAATAACAAGGTGGGGAAGAAAAAATGTGGTTGAACATAAGCGGGTGGAGAGATGAGAAGAAAAAGGCATAAAGGAGAAATAATATAAAAGAAAGGGAAATAAAAGAATGTGGCGGTGGCGATAGAGATAGGGGGAGAGGGGGAAATTTAAAAAATGGAATAAAGGAAAGAAAAGGTGTAAATTTCAAAAAGAGCGAAAACTGGTAGAGATCAATGAGAGAAAGAATGAGAGAAGAAAAAGGAACAAAAGTAAAATCGTTACAAAGAAGAAGTATAACAAGAACGAATATGAAAGAGAAAAGAGAAGGAGAAAAGAGAAAAGAGAAAGATAAGGAGAAAGAGAAGGAGAAAAGAGAAAGAGGAAAGAAAAAGAGGAAAGAGAAAGAGAAGGGGAAAAGAGAAAGAGAAAAGGGAAAAAGAAGGAGAAAAGAGAAAGAAAAAAGGGAAAAGAGAAAGAGAAAACAGAAAACAGAAAAGAGAAAAGAGAAAAGAAAAAGAGAAAGAGGAAAGAGAAGGGGAAAAGAGAAAGAGAAAAGGGAAAAAGAAGGAGAAAAGAGAAAGAGAAAATTGAAAAAAGAAAGAGAAAAGAGAAGCAGAAAAGAGAAAAGGGAAAAGAAAAAGAGAAAGAGAAAGCGAAAGAAAAGAGAAAGAGAAAAGAGAAAGAGAAAGAGAAGGAGAAAAGAGATAAGATAAAAGAGAAAGAGAAATAGAAAAGAGAAATAGAAAAGAGAAAGAGAAAAGGGAAAAGAGAAAGAGAAAAGAGAAAGAGAAAGTAAAAAGAAAGAGAAAAGGGAAAAGAGAAAGAGAAAGCAAAATAGAAAAGAGAAAGAAAACAGGGAAAGAGAAAAGAGAAAAGACAAAGAGAAAGAGAAGGAGAAAAGAAAAAAGAGAAAGAGAAAAGAGAAATAGAAAAGAATAAGAGAAAAGGGAAAAGAAAAAGAGAAAGAGAAAGGAGAAAGAGGAAGCGAAATAAAAAAGAGAAAGAAAACAGAGAAAGAGAAAGAAAAAAGAGAAAGAGAAAAGAGAAATAGAAAGCGAAAGAAAAGAGAAAGAGAAGAAGAAAAGAGACAAGAGAAGGAGAAAAGGGAGAAAAGAGAAAGAGAAAATAGAAAAAAGAAAGAGAAACGAGAAAGAAAAAAGTGAAAGAGAAAGAAAAAAGAGAAAGAGAAAATGGAAAAGAAAAAGAGAAAGAGAAAGAGAAAAGAGAAAGAGAAAAAGTAATCAAAGTAGGAAATATGGAATCATTGAAAAAAAAAAGCATGCGATTGTGGTGAAGGTGTGAATATAATGACTGGAGAAGAAAAAGAAAAAAAAAAGAAGGAATAAAGAATGAATAATGGAAAATGAGGAGAAAGAGAAGAATTAGATGGTGCTAAAAGAGAGGGTGAAAGATAAGTGATAGCGTGATAAAATAATTGGAAGAAATGGAGGAGGGGAAGAAAGACGAAAAACGGTGAAGAGCAAAATAAGATGGTGGCGAACGAGGAGAAAGGGAATGACATAGGAAAGAAAAAAAAGGGAAAAAAACGAATAAATTTGGTATAAAAAGGGGGAATGCGGTAAAAAAAGGAAGAAGAAGAAGAAGAATGAGAAGAGGACGAAGAAGAAGAAGAAGATAAAGGAGAAGAGGACGAAGAAGAAGAAGATAAAGAAGAAGAGGACGAAGAAGAAGAAGAAGAAGAAGAAGAAGAAGAACATGAAGAAGAAGAGGACGACGAAGAAGAAGAAGATAAAGAAGAGGGCGAAGGAGAAGAAGATCATAAAGAAGAAGAGGACGACGAAGAAGAAGAAGATAAAGAAGAAGAGGACGAAGAAGAAGAAGATCATAAAGGAGAAGAGGACGAAGAAGAAGAAGAAGATCATAAAGGAGAAGAGGACGAAGAAGAAGAAGATAAAGAAAAAGAGGACGAAGAAGAAGAACATAAAGTAGAAGAGGACGAAGAAGAAGAACATAAAGTAGAAGAGGACGAAGAAGAAGATATCCGTATAATAAGGAGAATGTGAACGGTTAAGGAATTTGGAAACAAACAGAAAGAAAGAAAACAGGAAAATAATAGCGAGTAGGAGTTGGAGGGAGAAAAAGAAAGAGAAAGAAAGGAATAACAATGAGAAGAAAAGAAATGCAATAAAGAGAATGAGGGAGATAAAATACATTTGAGGAAAAACATAAAGGAGAAAGAAAAGGAGAAAGAAAAGGAGTAGTAGAAAGAAAGAAAGAAAGAATGAATAAAAGAAAGGAGAATAAGAAAAAGAAGAAAAAGAAGAATAAATTTGTATAATAATTAGAATGATGAAGTAAACGGTCATTTGAGGGAACAGAAAAGAAGGAGATAGAGTTAGAGGTGGGAGAGAAGACATGGAGGGAAGGACGATAGAAAGAAAGAAAAAAGATAAAGAAGAATTAGAAGAAAAAGAAAGAAAGTAAGAAAGAAAAAGAAGAATTAGAAGAAAAAGAAAGAAAGAAAGAAAGAAAAAAAGAAAAAGAAGAATTAGAAGAAAAAGAAAGAAAGAAAGAAAGGAAAAAAGAAAGGAAGGAAGAAAAAAAGAAAGTTTTGTGATGTTGGACGGCTTCGCTTGTCACTTTTGTTATGTCAAGCGAAAGCTCTTTATCACTTCCAAAAATGCTCATTATATTTGAGACTTTATAGAAGCCGGCTCTCGTAGTAACGCCTTCCAATAATACCCGCACTAGTAATACTTGTCCAAGCAGTAATCGCCAAATAGTATAATGATCAGAAGAGAATCATAATCCGTAAAGAGAGTGAAAGTATAGCAAGAGTGGATAGACAAGAAGATTGAACAGTGATCGAATAGTCATCATGCTACTTCCTATTTATTCACTTACTTTAGGATCATCTGTTCTACTTATTAATTCAATCGCCAGTGTTATTCCCTGGCGATCCAGTTTCAAACTACAGTGTCGGCAAATTATTTACTCTTATTCAACAGAAAGAAAATAGTAATAATGATAATATAGAAGATAAAACGTGGTTGCTAAACATAAAAAAGAAGTAAAAGAGGGGGCCAAAGACAAGGAGTCGGGGAAATAATAATAATAATAATAATAATAATAATAATAATAATAATGAGAATAGTAATAATAATGAGAATAATAATAATAATGATAATAATTATGAGAATAATAATAATAATAATAATAATAATAATGCCTCCTTATTGATATGGCAGTCCCTGCCGACTGCAATGTATCTTTGAAGATATTCAAAAAGTTGTCAAAGTACGAGGACCTTGAAATAGAAATCTCGAAAATGTGGCATATGGGAACATCAACAATCCCTGTTGTAGTTGGAGCCCTAGGACTGGTTGGAAAAGATTCCAGTAGACTAATTGAAGGGATTCCTGGAAGTCCATGCCTCAAGGAGATAAAAAAAAATTGTTCTGACAAGTTCAGCCCACATCTAACGAAGGGCTTTATTTATGTAATTTAATCCATTTTTTTTTTTTTTTTTTTTTGTCAGTGGAAAGTGTCATGACGCCATTTCTAACCTTAGGTCCTGGGCGGGGACCCGGAAAGAAATGTGTAAACGCCAGAAATCAAAGAAAATAAAAATAATAATAATAATAATAATGAGAATATTAATAATGATAATTATGAGAATAATAATAATGAGAATAATAATATTAATAATAATAATAATAAAGAGAATAATAATAATAATGATGATAATAATTATAATGAGAATAATAATAATAATAATAATAATAATAATAACCAGAAAGAAAAAACTTGCCTACTAATTGATATGGCTTGTCCAGCGGATTGTAACATAGCAACCAAGGAATTTGAAAAACTATCAAAATACAAAGACCTGGAAATTGAAATAGAAAAAATGTGGAAATTGAAAACAAGAATAATACCAGTGGTAATAGGTAATTTGGAATTATAAAAATGGAACAAAACAACACATTGAAAGAATCCCTGAAACCCCAGCTTAAAGAGACATACAGAAAATTGTCTTATTAAGTACAGCACACACACTAAGGAGAACTTTGTCTATGTAACGCTAGCAACTTCATCGGAGATAAAAAAAAAAAAAAAAAAATTAACATGAAATGTGGCCATAACAACACACCACGACCTGCCTTAGGTCTTTCCGCAGACTTGGTAGGTAGTGTGTCCATAGCAGAAATAATAATAATAATAATAATAATAATAATAATAAGTACAGCCCACACTTTACGAAGGGCTTTATCTATGTAATTTAATTTTTTTTTTTTTTTTTGTCAGTGGAAATTGTCATAACGCCATTTTTAACCTTAGGTCCCTGGGCGGGACCCGGAAAGAAACGTGTAAACGCCAGAAATCAAAGAAAATAAAAAAATAAAAAATAATAATAATAATAATAATAATAATAATAATAATAATAATGATGTGATTTCTCAAGGAGAATTAAGGTTGAGGAAAAAAGAAGAAAGAAAGAAAGGAGAAAAAAGAAAGAGAAAGATAGAACGATAACCGAGGCAAAGAAGCAAAAGGAGAAAGAGGACAAGCTGGAGAAGGAGAGAAGGATAAAAGAAAAAGAAAGATGGAAAGAAGAATGAACAGTAAAAAAAAGAAGTAAAATAATCCTGAATGACTTATACTAAGCAAATGTCGGAATCTAAAAGAAGATGACGAAGAGTAAGGAAGACTGGAAACAAATGACGAAAAGGCAAAAGAAAAAGAAATAAAGAACGTGGAGGAAGAGAATGTAGTACTGGTGGGTGGCGTGGGAGATTGACAAATTTATGTAATCGTGCAATCATCCATTGTTAGTCTTCTTTTGCTTCGTTGCCTGTCTATGAGCAACGGCGTTTCCTGGTCGAAAACACCGAAATATATTTGAACGCTTCATTTTCTTGATGGACGCCTACATGAGCAGCCATCTTGAAATATAAAAATCAGAATCTTTTTTCCAACTCATTTATGCCAATATCCCATTGATAAAACTTTTAAACATACACATAAAACACTTAACTGCGTTATATATATATATATATATATATATATATATATATATATATATGTAGAAATTTTGAAAAACAAACAAAAATCCATAAATGTAGTTTGTTTGTTTTTCAAAATTTCTACATTCTGTCGGATTTATATCCATTTACACTTGCTTATATATATATATATATATATATATATATATATATATATATATATATATATAATGTGCTATGGATAAATTGTTGTCTAAATTACTCAAAAATGAAAATAATTCTGGCATTTCATTTTAACGTATTTATTTACTAAATTTTGAAAAAAAAACTTGAAATACTAAACAGTAAATTTATTCAATAAAATAAGAACCACGGTCTCCGGACGCCTTCAGAATCTCCTGCAACTCTTCTGGACGGTCTCCATGTTGAGTCTGAGCCTCTCACCAACAAATTCGGGACTCTTTTTCTTATCAGAATGAGTATTTTAGTTGGTGTACCTTCTAAACACAAATACACTTTCTATTTATTTATTATATGTGTTTGGGTATATAAAATGTAGAAAGAGAGAGAGAGAGAGAGAGAGAGCGTGAAATACAAGTAAAAGGTTTGTAACTTAGCAGATAGATGTTATCTTCAGTCTGATATATATATATATATATATATATATATATATATATATATATATGTATGCATGTATGTATGTATGTATAAATAAAAAGAAAGAACAGTAAGATATATAATCCGGTGTTCTCATTGATATTTTTTTATTTTTACAAAACAGTGCTCAATGTAAATTTACAGATCATTAATATTTCTCTGTATCCATGGAAACAGGAAATTATGAATTTATATGTGCGTTTAAAACTCAGTAAATTTAAAAAATAAGTTATTCAATATTCGCTTTAAAATGAAACGGAACTAATGCTTTTAATTTAATTATATAATTAAATTTGAAGATTTTAACTCTACTTTTCGAAACATGGTTATTAGTTTTTAGCGAAAAACATATTTTAAACCAGTGAATATATATATATATATATATATATATATATATATATATATATATATATATATATATCCGGACATAATATATATATATATATGTGTATGTATGTATGTATGTGTGTGTGTGTATTTGAATGAATGAGAATCAACCTTAACTATACTAACCTCCATAGTATGTACTTCGCGAGGTCAATCAGTCAGTTATGTGGCATGCGTATTACACGCTTAAGCGATCATGTATCTTTCATTACATGACTGACGAGGCAAATTTTTCATCCCTCAGTAGGTTGGCATTTCTTTCTGCGGTAAACCAGTTGTATTAGCACGTAAGTGAATGTAATAGAATCGACTGGAAAACGAACTTGGCTCTCCAATTCCTCAATCCGAGCCGCTAGCCATTACGCTTTTTAATTCGGAGTTCTTCTCCTAGACTGGTCGCTAAACAAGACTATAGAACCATTCAGACTGCTCTACTAATTGCACCAGGGTTGGAGGTTTGGAATTCAGTGTTGTCCTTCTAGACCGGTTGACATATCATTTTATTGGAGTCAGTCTATCTTACTCATTAACCATAGCTGTCGGGAGAATAGATCGATCATACATTTCCTAAGGTTATTTGTACGTATGTAACGAAAACTACTGGAATTCGATCTCGGCTCTCCATCACTTCCTTCTTTTTATGCAGTTTTATGTTTTTCCTTTACTCCTTCAATTCTAGATTTTTCTTTCTTTTTCTCTTTGTCATGCTTTCATTTTCTGTTACATTCACCGAGTCTTTCTTTCTTTCTCTCTTTCTTTCTTTCTTTCTTTCTTTCTTTCTTTCTTTCTGGGTTTATTTTTTCAATCCTTCTCTCCTTTGATGCACTTTCTTTCTTTAGACTTATTATTCTTTCCTCCTCTCTTTTCCCGTTCTTTCTTTCTTTCTTTTTTTTGGGGGGGTACTTTCTTCTTTCTTCCTCTTTTGGCGTTCTTTCTTTCTCTCTTTCTTTCTTTCTTTCTTTCGTTTACTTTTTCTTTCTTTCTTTCTTTCTTTCTTTCTTTCTCTCTTTCTTTCTTTCCTTCCGTTTTTCTTTCTTTCTTTCTTTCTTTCTTTCTTTCTTTGTTGTTTTGTTGATTTGTTTAACGTCATATAAACTCTTTATGGGTCATTCAATGCTATAATCTAATTTTCTTGGGAACTATGAAGTAATAAACATATATGTTATTCTGCTTTCACAGTTGAATACATGGTAGATGATACTCAGCTTTTGTGTATATACAATTGTTTGGACATAATTACTAAAGGTGAAAACTGTATTTATTTTTGTTAAGTTATATTCTGGAATACAGTTTGATTTTAGAAACTATCCGATGTTATATGGATTATGCCATAAAAATTTATGTTGTTTTTTTGGTTTTGTTTAGCGGCATATCAACACCTCTATGGGTTATTTAGTGCCGAAATCTAAGTATTTTAACGCTGTCTTATGGCTTCAACTACAGGTAAATTAGGCTGATAATGTATTGTCTGTCTTTTTATATAAAAATGTATTGCTGGTATTTTTACTATTAAAATTTATTTTTATGCTTTCATAGTGTTTTTGTTTGCGGGACTCACTATTTTTTTATAGCTGGGGCCCTAACAGGTGCTACCACCTCAGCTCAAGTTGGACAAGGGAACAACAGTGATTGAGCTGGTATCAAGCTACCCCAAACCTCCAATCACCCGATCAGAGGCCTTGATTTCTTTGGTTGATTTGTTTTTTACGGTTTATCAACCCTTTGCCAGTTATTTAAAACCGGAAAATATTTTTAGATTTTAGGAATTTTTTTTTTTTTAGATAATAATAATCATTTAGTGATACAGGTGATTATTTAGTGATGCTGATTAACCCATAGCTAGGGGAGAAGAGGCAGTTTCATACCTTTCACAAGGGTATTTAAGCGTAAGTGAAGATACCAAACCGAACTGGAATAAGAACTCGGCTCCCCGATTAGCAATTCAGACCCATTATCCATTACACCACCCCCACATCCAAGGTTACAGAACCTGGTATTCCCAAGAAGTCACCCATCTTAGTACTCACTAGGCTTGACGTTACTTAACTTCGATGATCGTACTGGAACCGGCCTTTCAACATGATGTTTCCCTATGTTCCTTTATTTATTTGCTTTATTTACACGCGTACTATTGTCTTCATTCTTGTTGTAGTTGTCATTACGTTTCGGTCGTTAGGCTCCTCGGCCTTCGTCAGGAAGTTGTCGATCCGCTTAATCATATCCGTTTATTCATCAGCGGCTCTATCTCACAGGTAGTTCCATGAACTTGGTTGTGAGTAAAGAAACTTTTTAAGGATATGTGCTCATCCCAGAATTTTCCCAATAGTCTCATCAGTCCTAACTCCTTTTTTCTTTTAGTTAACGATTTGCCCATGAACATTCTCATATATTTAGTATACATCTGTACAGATGATAGTACAGTTTATAGAAACACCTGTAAATATTACGATGTTTAAAACTTTGCAGTTGATATCTTTACTAAATTGTTCCAGCAGCTCAATGTGGAAAACAAAACGAGCCTATAACTTCCATTACGTCCCCCCCCAAAAAAAAAAACAAAGCTTGCCTAATTTCAGCATCACGGATCTGAACCACCGTTTTCTTCAGTCATTATAAACGGTTACACGCCATGACTGGAACATCTCCAGACACATAATTTCAAGTTCAAATCAAGTGTAAATAATACATACGTGGGTCAGTCAAAACTTATCCGCTCTTTTGCCATAAATATATATTTTGTTTTATGACATTGCCTTCTGTTCATGCGTGCTTATAGTTGGTATTATTGCGGTCACGTGATCGATGTTTATGCTCGTTCGCATCAGTTTTCTTGCTGTTGTTACAGTGTAAACATGGCCGCCTCGCTAGCAGTGATGGGTTCCGAAAAGAGCTGTCTGTATTTAGAGACACATCTGACGCCGCATTATTGGCAAGAATATTTTGAATTATTTTAGAATCACCCATGTTATAAGAAATACGTGGAGTATTTTATAACACTGCAAAGACTGTTTCTAAGACATTTTTTCTTAATGCTTACCGCCTGATGATCCACACAGGTAAAACTACAGTAGTACGTGAGTCACCTTCTGCATCTTAATTTTTTTTAACGATCTATTTATGAACATTCTCAGATCATTAGATCAGATCTATTTATGAACATTCTCAGATCATCATTAAAATCGGCACAGATGATACAACAATTCATAGAAACACCTTCAAAAATCAAGATGTTCGGAGCCTTGGATTTGATATTTAGGCTTGCCACACTGCCTTCTGCTCGGGCGAGTTCCTAGTGGGAACTATTTAGGTCATCTGATCGAAAATTGAGTTTGATCGCGTCAGTTTTCTTGCTGCTGTTACAGTGTAAACATGGCCGCCCCGCTAGCAGTGCGCACCAAGAAAGAACAAAGATCCGAATCTCCGGAGAACATGCTACTTCATCGATGATAACTTGCCGTTTAGCCATTGCCGTCTCTCGAGATTTCTCGTCAGTGGTGAATATTGACGGGTGTCCTGCCCCTGGTTCATTCGTTTCGCTTGTCAGGCGTCTTTTAAACTTCTTGGCCTACCCATAAACACTGTCGTCGTAATGTGTTAAAACCTCTGATGAATTTCCACGCCTGACACACGTTCCGACCAGAGAAATCGGATCACTGCTCTTTGTTTCTACTTGGCGCACACTGCTAGTGGAGCGGCCATGTTTACACTGTAACTGCAGCAAGAAAACGGGCGCGATCCAGCTCAAACATAGATCACGTTATCACAATAGTCCCAACTATAAGCACGGGAGATCAGAAAGCAGGGTGACAAAACTAAAGGTATGTTATGTCTAAAGTGTCGGTAATTGTTTCACTTCCCCTCGTGCAATCCATTATTAAAGATGATTGGAAAATGATCGGCTAGTTCTTGGGTTCTCGAAAGTAACTGACTCCTTTTAGGCTTGCTTTCAATTTAGAGTCACAGTGGAGTAATGGATAGTGACTCGGATTGAGGAATCGGAGTGCCGAGTTCGAATTTCAGTCAAATCCATTACATTTACTTACGTTCTAATACTCTCTTCTCCCTCAACACAGCTATGGGTAAATAGCAAGACAGACTGGGTTCTATAGCCTTGGATGGCAACTGGTCTACCGCAGAAAGAAATGACAACCTACTGCGGGGAAAAAATCTGCCTCGTCATTCATATATGGAAAGATACTCGATCGGCTAAGCGTGTATCACACATGGTACATAACATTTACCCTTTTTCAGTTTAGTCAGATTAGACCAACAATGGAGTATCTGTTATATATGAGAGGTACCTGTTCAATTTTCCCTTACCAGCCTTGACAGGGTTGAAGGCTGGAGGAATGACATATTTTCAACACTGCAATGTCTTTTCCGTAGACACAAGTTCGCCATTATTTGGAGAAAAGATTACATCATTATTTCTACGGAAAATGATGAGACGAAACACATTTGGTAGTTCCGCCAGTTCAGACCTTCGGCTATAGAGGTGGGGTAAAAAGTGATCAAGTTTCGATTCCTGCTGGGAGACGCAAATATATATATAGATTCGAGAATAAAACAGCATTTACCCTTTAGGATTTTGAATCCGTCCTCCAGGAATAACCAACTGACTAACAGTTCTGGTTCTGCTATTGCTGAACATTTAATAAATAGAAGGAAATGTGTGGAAAATTTTACTGGTGACCAATTTATAACTTTATCTAGGTCCCACTCCACATTTCACCTCAAGGTGCTAGAGTCCTTGTATATCAGATCCCGTGAGCCTTCCCTTTGTAAACAGAGGGAATACTTGCTGGGTCTGAATGTTATTGGAATCTAGTTTCTTGAAATTCATATTTATTTCCCCCCCCCATTCGATTACATTCGTTAAATAAAAATTAATTCACACGCTTTTTCAAATTCCCAGAATAAATAAACTTGATAAGTCCTGGGACGAAACCGGTTGTTTTTATTTTAGCTTTTGCTTTTAAAAATGCCTTATAAATATTGTCTTTTCCTATCTATTATTAAATTCTGTACCACGAAAAACTTATTTAAATATATATATATATATATATATATATATATATATATATATATATATATATATATATATATATTCGGACATTGACAGTTAGGGCACTACGTTCATAAAGTCGAATCATCTACATTGTCCCCGTATTGCAAATATAAGGAAAAATGTCGGCTCATGTAATCTCTTACGCAAGAACTGTTGCTTTGAGGAAGATATTGCCACGACGATGTTTTTCCCCGCAATCTTCACCCTCTTCCAGTTAGGGGTCAATTCTTATGCATCCTTACTTCCTACTTTTATATTCATATCAAACACTTCATTTAGTAACACTCTAGATTGAGTGGCTCCTGCAAACATGACTTAAAAACGTTTCAGATTTAACTATTTTCATTCCAACTCCAAATCATTCCGATTTTGATAACAATATCTATCTATCTATCTATCTATCTATCTATCTATCTATCTATGCCAATTGGCTTACGGTAACTGAAAGAACACAAACAATTGAAAATTTATACCTTAATAAATACCAGAAATAAGATTATCTATCTATCTATCTATCTATCTTTCTTTCTCACTCTCATTCAATATATCTCTATCTATCACTCTGTATCACTCTCATTCTATGTATGCATCCATGTATGTATCTCACACTCATTCTATATATCTCTATCTATCTCTCTGTCTCACTCTCATTCTATCTATCTATCTATCTATCTATCTATCTATCTATCTATCTATCTATCTATCTATCTATCACCCTCTCTCACTCTTATTCTATCTATCTATCACCCTCTCTCACTCTTATTCTATCTATCTATCTATCTATCTATCTATCTATCTATCTATCTATCTCACTCTCATTCTATATATCAATCACTCTGTCTCACTCTCATTCTATGTATGTATCTCACTCTTATTCTATATATCTCTATCTATCACCCTGTCTCACTCTCATTCTATCTATCTATCTATCTATCTATCTATCTATCTATCTATCACCCTGTCTCACTCTTATTCTATCTATCTATCTATCTGTCTCACTCTTATTCTATCTATCTATCTATCTATCTATCTATCTATCACCCTGTCTCACTCTTATTCTTTCTTTCTTTCTATCTATCTATCTATCTATCTATCTATCTATCTATCTATCTCACTCTCATTCTATATATCAATCACTCTGTCTCACTCTCATTATATGTATGTATCTATGTATGTATCTCACTCTTATTCTATATATCTCTATCTATCACCTTGTCTCACTCTCATTCTATCTATCTATCTATCTATCTATCTATCTATCTATCTATCACCCTGTCTCACTCTTATTCTATCTATCTATCTATCTATCTATCTATCTATCTATCTATCTATCTATCTATCTATCACTCTGTCTCACTCTCATTCTATGTATGTATCTATGTATGTATCTCACTCTCATTCTATATATCTCTATCACTCTGTTTAACTCTTATTCTATCTATCTATCTATCTATCTATCTATCTATCTATCTAGTTGTCCTTTCTCAGTCTGTTGATATCTATTTCCGTCTATTTTTTGATTGATTTTTCCATCTAGTTTCTGTTTTTGTAGTTGATTTTCATTTCAGTTCTCAGGTTGTAATTCTACGATCATTACGTATGCGGCGGTGATCGGGAATAACTAACCTGCAACGAGTTTTGAAATCGGATAATGAAGTCGATTGCGACACGGTTCAATTTGAATGACGTGTTCGCATTGACCTACGTGGCCTCAACGATAAGACGCTGTTCGTATCAGATAGGCAAACAGCGATAACGAATCCGGTTTCATATCTCAGCGTTAGATAATTCTTGATTTATGATCCGCGTTGCACATTTAACGCTCTTCGAAGATAAAAACGAATCGAAAATTTCGATGGAAATGAGTCAAAAATATGGAGAGAAAAACCAAAAGAAAAAACTTAATAAAAACAACAACGTATAGAAAATCTAACTACAACACATACGCATTCTCATAGGAACATATATAGACAAGCAATGATATATTTATTGTCATGGATTTTTTAAAATCCAGCCTTATTTCTTCTTTGTATGAACTTTTATTTCTAATCATTATTATTATTATTATTATTATTGCAATTTTATACTGGAGGTCGGTACATTTCTTCTGCTTGAAGTTGCCATTATTATTTTCTTTTTATGTGAGGTGTCCTTTCAGGATGTAGGCGATCATTGCTCTCCGGCTCCCTCTATCCCTTGCAACGCTCAAAAAGTTCCTTCTCTTCGCTTTCTCCCCCGGACCACATTCTGTCATCCACCTGCTCGAACCCGCCAGGAATGTCATGTGCTACTTTCCCTTGTCCCTCTTTCCCTCTGTTCGACTCGAGAGTAACAGATTCTCCGGGCCCTCGTTCCTCATTATGTCTCCCAGAAACTTCAGCTGCTCCTTCCTGATGTTAAGCATGAGCCTCCTCTTTGCATCCTCTCCAAGAATTAATCGTTGCTCAAAACGTTTCGGTCCAAGAAATCTTCAGCATCCTTCTGCAGAACCATATCTCCATATGTCTCTTTTTCATCTTTGAGGAAATCGTCCAGCTGCCGTAAAGAAGGACGGGTGTCACGTAACAGCTCAGTATTTTTTTGGGGGGGGTCTTATATCACTGTATCTAAAATCCATGTGGAGTGAGTGGCCATGGTTAAATACAAAATAAAGGACAGAACAACAACAGAATTAACAAAGACCACAGTAAAAAGAAATTAAGAACAACACAAAATAAAATGATATCGAGCAATCAAACAATATATGCAAGAGACGCCAACCTAGCTGCACGCTTAAATTCGTTCAGTCGGGACAGTTATATTCGTTCCAGCGCTGATGAATATTTTCCATCTCATATTATTCCGCATGTAGGCCGTTTGCTGCTTGTATAAGTTGTAGATTATTCTAATATCTTTTCCAAATATATCAAGGTTGCCGAGCAGTTGCAACAGATCTTTGTGACATACTTTATCGAACGCCTTTGCGTAGTCTATAAAACACGCGTGCACGTATTTCTGCATTTGTATCGCTCTTCCTGATAACATTCTGAGCCTGAATATCGCGTTCCTTGTTCCGGTGTCTATAACGAACCCGCACTATTCTTGTCCTATCTCTGGCCTGATTCTACTGCGCGCTTTATTCATCAGAATTCGGATGATTAGTTTTGTTATGTGGCTCATTAGGCTGATTATTCGGTGACGTTCACATTCGTTTGTGTCTGGTTTCTTAGGCAATGCTATGAAAATAGATCTGCTGAGATCTTCCGGAATATTGCCACCGTTTTATTTTTCATTTATTATTTCCGTAATATGTTCTATGCCAAAATCATCTAAGGCTTTCAGCACATCTGTTACAATTCCATCTGGCCTTACCACTTTGTTTCTCTTCAGTTTGTCCAATGCAGATTCTATTTCGGATTTTAGAATTTCAGGCCCGTCCTTAATTCTATGTATTGCTTTTGGTTCTTTTTCATCGTGGAAGAGATCTCCAATATATTCGTTCCAGCGCTGAAGATTTTTTTCCTTCTCTAATATGAACGTTTCGTCCTTGGATTTTATTCAGCCTGTTGACAAGCGTGTCTTCTCTTCTGCTAGTTTCCTTATTTGTTTAGGCATATCTCCTTTGTCTGTGGTACTTGCAGCCCCAGAAAATATAGGTTCAGCAAAGTATTAAGGAACAAGAAAATGTTGTAAGAAATATAGAAGCGGGTGCTTAAATGTTATGTAAAATCGGTCCTCCTATATGACAAAGAATTTTTTTAAGCATTTCACCCCAAGCAAGGAAGACTTGCCCCTAGTACGCAAGGGTTAAAGAGAGTGAAATAAGTGAAAAGACTGAGTATAGGAGGAATTGATGAAAGGATAAAAAGAAGAACTGGGTCAAGGTATCAGAAGATATCCATTGACATTACATTTAAATTTTTGAAGATTATACTTATCAGGGAAGCAACTAAGGGGAAGGGAGTTCCACTGTCGGGAAGTGCGAGAGAAGAAACTGTTAGAGTAGAAGAGGCGGTTACATTTAACTGTTTCGACAGTAAAAGGTTGGGACCGAAATGCCAACCTAGTAGCACGCTTAAATTCATGTAGCCGGGGCACCAGTGAAAATAGCTTGTCAGAGCTGATGAGCATGGAAATATTTATAGAAAACACAGAGGGAAGCTACATTACGTCGGCGAGAAAGTGATTGGGATGGAGACCCCAAATATTCAAAGGAAATCAGGAAGCAAAAGCTAAAAATAAATATATATAAAGCAAGAGGAACGGGGTTGGACTTTGGGGGCTTACAGTACCAGGTGTTCCCAAGCGGTCCCCCATCTAAGTACTGACCTGGCTCTACGATGCTTAACTTCAGTGATCGAACGAGAACCGGTGTTTTCAGCGTGATTTGACCGTAAGCCAAATTCCAACCCTTACCTCACAGTCGGTGGGGGGCGTGTAAACGGTGGTGTCAGAGCTATGCCGCCCGGAACTTCGTTCCTGGTAGGGCCACCCAAGGTGGACAGGTCTGACACACACGCCGGCTAACAAGGGCTCTGGTGAAAATCCAAGGAGCGTCTGCATCGGTAACCGGCGGCTTCTGGTCGTTCCTGTCTCTGCGTCTGTGGGAAACCCACGGCAAGCAAGAACGTTATCCGAGTAGGCCTGGGTACCCTACTTCTGTAATTTATCCCAAGAATCTTCTTCTCACAACAGGAAGAAGCCGACTCAATCCGCCCAGTTTGAATGCCGCATCAATACAATACAATATAAGAGGAACGGCAGAAGGTTTGAACTACGGATTGGAGACATCAAAATTAAACCTTTTCAGAAATCTTTAACAGGCGACAAAAAATCTGACAGCGAAATCCTAGCACCCATTTAAATAGCAAATATACATTCTAACATTTTAATAAAATATTAAATGAAGGAAATTTCAGTATCTGTCTATATTTCTGAGGTGAGGTATTATGTACACTATTTTCATTATTCGGACTATTGTCAACATCTTGTCATATTTATCACAAAGTTTCAGCCATTGTACGTTCCGGCCTTCTTTAGGTGGTTGGAATGTCGGACTGAACCCTTTATTTCGCTCACTGGGGTAGACTTTTCTAGTTTCACCTGCCATATTTTAATGGATGTCATTTATCAGTTATGTCCTGTTAATTTCCCTCTGAAAATTCTCAACTGCTTAACCGGGTATTGAACTCACACTCTTTGGGTCCTGTCACTGGATCTAACTAACGCCTTTATCCACTGTGCCCTTGGGTACATAATGGCGTCATATCCAGTGACAAGACCCAAAGTGTGTGAGTTCAATAACTGGCATTGGAAAACTTGGAGAAGGAAATTAACAAGAGATAACTGATAACTGACCATCCGTTAAACATGGCACGTGGAACTAGAACAGTCTACCCCAGTGAGCGAAATAAAGGGTTCAGTTCGGCATTCCAACCACCTGAAAAAGCCCGGAGCATACAATGGTCGAAACGTAATAAATATGGCGACAAAGATGAGAACACTAGTCCGAATAATGATGAAAATTTCGTTAGAAACAAAGAAAATAATCATAAGAATCATTTACATTACTCAGACCCGTATCCTCATCTTCACTGCCATATTCACGTTTTGGCCGGTTTGCGCTCCGGCCTTCTTTAAGTGATTCGAATTTCGAATCGAACCATTTATTACATCCACTGGGTAGATCTTTCTAGTTCCATGTGCTATGACTCTTCCAGATGTCTCAGTTATTTTTGGAGTTTTTAACTTCGAGCTGAATCATTCGAAGCAGATCTCTACCCCAAAACTTAAATTCCTTATGAGCCTTCAGGAGAATTCTTCACACTGAAGATACAAGTGGACTTTGGACATTATTCTAAGACCCCTTCAGAAAACAGGGTGGAAACACAAAAAGTATTTTTTTTGAGCTGAGACGTTCTGTTTTTAAACTTTTAAGGAGGTGAGTTGGTGTAATTTTTAAAAAATTCTGTCTTGTGTCATTTTGTTTTTTTTTTCTCCAAGCTTTTCCCGTTTTTTTTTTCTATTTTTGAAGGTTTTGTTTTTTGTATAAATCCGTTTCTTCTCGAACTAATTGTGACATATTTTCCTTCTTTCTGTTGGTAAACCCTATTTCTTTTATCTCAGAAATTGTTATCCTGCCTTTGAGACGTACAGAAAGAAAACTTTTGTGCAACACCTGTATTGTACCTTTTTGTGTGTGTGTGTGTAAACTGTAAATAAATATGTTTTCATTTTTTATGCAGTGGTTGTCTTGATTTAAAATTCTGCGTCTCTTGTGACTTTCTGTTTCTACCAACTGAGCTTTGCACCTGGCACAAAGACTTCGAGTTGGTAGAAAAGTAAGAAAAATGCATATTAAAAGCCACCGAATGCTAGATAAGTTCCTCGCAGATAAAGAGGAAGCTTGTAGTTCTACATAAAAACGCTGAGAATTTGTCCAGAAGATGTGAAGTTTTAAGAAAAATAGAAACGAAAAAGACACTTATACGTAAAATCGGAAAGAAGGCGTTTAGATCTTTTGGGCACATAATGAAACAGGGCTT